AAAAACTTAAAAAAACAAAAAAATCTTCTTTAAAGAACTCAAAGAGCTATGGCTAAGATATTGAGCATCAAACATGTTCTAATAGGTGTCTATCAAGTTTGTTCAAAGAAAGCCCTGGGGTCAAAATTGGCCCCGCCCGGCAGGGGGTCATTGATTTTCCCTATATGCATATAGTAAAAACTTAAAAAATCTTCTTTTAAAGAACCAAAAGAGTTAGAGCTAAGATATTTAGCATGAAACATGTTCTAAATAAGTGTCTACCAAGTTTGTTCAAATAAAAGCCCTGGGGTCAAAATTGACCCCGCCCGGGGGGGTCATTGATTTTTCCCTTTATATGCATATAGTAAAAACTTAAAAAATCTTCTTTTAAAGAACTCAAAGAGCTATGGTTAAGATATTTAGCATCAAACATGTTCTAATAGGTGTCTACCAAGTTTGTTCAAATAAAAAGCCCTGGGGTCAAAATTGGCCCCGCCCCGGGGGTCATTGATTTTCCTTATATGTGTATAGCAAAAACTTAAAAAAATCTTTTTTGAAAAAACCCAAATAGCTAGAGTTAAGATATTAAGCATGAAACATCTTTTTAGTGAGAGTGTCTACAAAGTTTGTTCAAATAAAAGACCTGGGGTCAAAATTGGCCCTGCCCCAGGGGGTATTGATTTTCCTTATATGTGTATAGCAAAAACTTAAAATCTTCTTTGAAAAAACCCAAATAGCTAGAGTTTAGATATTAAGCATGAAACATATTCTAGTAAGTGTCTACAAAGTTTGTTCAAATAAAAATCCCTGGGGTCATAACTGGCCCGGCCCCAGGCGTGTCATTGTTTTTAACTATATGTGTATAGTAAAAACTTTAAAAAAATCTTCTTTTTAAATAGCCCAATGAGCTAGAGCTTAGATGTTTAGCATGAAAACATTTTCTTATGGGTGTCTACCAAGTTTGTGCAAATAAAAGCCCTGGGGGTTGGGCGGCCTATAATACAGGTGAGCGACCGTCAGGGCCATCATGGCCCTCTTGTTCATTTAAATAGGTCATTTTGTACAAAAAAGTGAATACTTTGGGAAATGGAAAGATACAAAATTTTGGCACACAAGTTATTGGTAAAGACCTACATCAAATGGTAAGATCGTATAAAAATCTCGAAAAAAAAATTATATCCAGTGCTGCATGTTGAAAGAAAAACACAGTGGAAGACCCTTATATTGAATTTAATTACAAATATTTTTAGATAGATAAAAATGTATAAAATGAAAGTCTAAAACAATAATCACACAAAGAATAAACTGACTTGCAGTTAATTCTAAAACACACTCATGCATCAACCTTAAATGTAAAGCAAATGCACATTGATAATCATCCCATTTTTACTACAAAATTTTTTTCTGTGTAATGTATTTTTAAAGACCTTAAAGGTCTATTACTACAATAACAAGATATGTTTGTAAAACATGTATGCCCCCTATCAGCAGCCAATTAGTCATGTGATAAGGTTATTATGCATGACTTCTGACCCAGTGATCAAACAATTAATAAGGGTTATAAAGTATCTACTGGTCATGACCTTGACCTTTGACCCCTTGACCCAAAACTCAATAGGGATCATCTGCTGGTCACGACCATCATCATACAAAGTTTGAAGTTCCTAGGCCTAGGCGTTTTTTAGTAAATTGACCAGAAACGTTTTTACCTACAAGGTCAATGTGACCTTGACCTTTGACCCCTTGACCCAAAAATCAATCTGCTGGTCATGACCAATTACCATGCAAGTTTGAAGTTCTAGGCCTAAGGGTTCTCTTATTTATTGATCGGGAAACGCGTTTTAACATACAGGTCAATATGACCTTGACCTTTGACAAAATCAATAGGGGTCCATCTGCTGGTCATGACCAATCACCAAATGCCAAGTTTGAAGTTTCCTAGGCCGAAGCGTTCTTTAGTTATTGATCAGAAACCGTTTTTTACTTACAAGGTCATTGTGCACCTTGACCTTTGACCCCTTGATTCCCAAAATCAATAGGAGTAATTTGCTGGTCATGACAAATCACCATACAAGTTTGAAGTTCCTAGGCCTAAAGCGTTCTTGAGTTATTGATCAGAAACCGTTTTTACTTACAAGGTCAATGTGACCTTGACCTTTAACCCCTTCACCTAAAACTCAATAGGGGTCATCTGCTGGTCATGACCAATCACCATACCAAGTTTGAAGTTCCTAGGCATAAGAGTTCTTAAGTTATTGATCGGAAAGCATTTTTACCTACAAGGTCAATGTGACCTTGCCTTTAACCTCTTAACCCCAAAATCAATAGGGGTCATCTGCTGTCATGACCAATCACCATACCAAGTTTGAAGTTCCTAGGCCTAAGGGTTCTTTAGTTATTGATCGGAAACCGTTTTTACCTAAGAGGTCAATGTGACCTTGAACCTTTGACCCCTTGACCCCAAATCAATAGGGTCATCTACTGATTTCATGACCAATCACCATCTTAAGTTTGAAGTCCCTAGGCCTAAGGGTTCTTTCATTATTGATCGGAAACCGTTTTACCTACAAGGTCAATGTGACCTTGACCTTTGACCCCTTAACACCAAAATCAATAGGGGTCATCTGATTGGTCATAACAAATCACCATACCAAGTTTGAAGTTCCTAGGCCTAAGGGTTCTTTTGTTTTTGATCAGAAACCGTTTTTACTTACAAGGTCAATGTGACCTTGACCTTTGACCCATTGACCCCAAAATCAATAAGTGTCATCTACTGATCATGACCAATCACCATACCAAGTTTGAAGTTCCTAGGCCTAAGGGTTCTTTTGTTATTGATCAGAAACCGTTTTTACCTACAAGGTCAATGTGACCTTGACCTTTGACCCCTTGACCCCATAATCAATAGGGGTCATTTACTGATCATGACTAATCACCATACCAAGTTTGAAGTTCCTAGGCCTTATGGTTCTTTAGTTATTGATCGGAAACCGTTTTTACCTACAAGGTCAATGTGACCTTGACCTTTGACCCCTTGACCCCAAAATCAATAGGGGTCATCTACTGATCATGACCAATCACCATACCAAGTTTGAAGTCCCTAGGCCTTAAGGTTCTTTAGTTATTGATCGGAAACCGTTTTTGCTTTCAAGGTCAATGTGACCTTGACCTTTGACCCCTTGACCCCACAATCAATAGGGGTCATCTACTGGTCATGACCAATCACCATACCAAGTTTGAAGTTCCTAGGCCTTAAGGTTCTTTAGTTATTGATCGGAAACCGTTTTTGCTTTCAAGGTCAATGTGACCTTGACCTTTGACTCCTTGACCCCAAAATCAATAGGGGTCATCTACTGGTCATGACCAATCACCATACCAAGTTTGAAGTTCCTAGGCCTAAGGGTTCTTTAGTTATCACTCGGAAACCATTTGGTCTACGGACCGACGGACCGACAGACCGACGGACCGACGGACCGACAAGTGCAAAGCAATATACCCCCTTTTCTTCGAAATGGGGGCATAATTATTGACCTCTTTCATGTGCAGCTATACACATCTGTGGTCACAAATATGAAACATCCCAAGATTGTATAGATTAAATCCTTGGAAAAGGAATTAAATGTTATTTGATTACCTTACCTTAACTAAATACAGTAGAACTTCTATGAGTCGAACTTCGATTAGTCGATTTTCTCGATGTGTCGAAGAAAAATTAAGGTCCCGACTTTTCCACCTATATATTCCTTATAAAAACCTATTTATGAGTCGAGATTTTATGTGTCGAATTTTTCGATGTGTCGAAGTTTTTTCGTGGTCCGTGTTAAGTAAATCTAGTGCAATTTACCACAAATAAGTCGAAGTTGTTCGATTTTTTTGACACCGTCGATCTCGAGACATTTTTCACACCTTATCTGGCTTCGAAGACGATTTCCAATCAACTTGTGTGTCGGGTGTTAATTACACAGCCGTGTGTTCAAACAGCCTTTGTTTGCGATAAAATGTGTGATAAAATGCTTTAATCGTTACTATTTTAATTGCCGTAGCACCAGTCTACTTGGTATTTGAAAGTAAACAGTAAGAACTACTTTCATCCTTGACCCGGTGTCGCGTGATAATAACACGCGAAATATATACTATAAGTTGGTTAAGTTATCGCCCTGTCGTATTGTTACGCCTTTTGTAACTCTTTTGTATACGTCAACGGGTAGTCCAAATAATTAGCCGTGAAAAACGTTATTTAACATGCTATATATATCATTGTAAAATGTGAATATCAGATCAATGATGGAAAAAACATGAAATAGGTTTTGTTATAGACTAGTCACGGGTCGAAATTTTGTCATGGAATTGAGTGTGATTCATGAGTCGAAGTCCCGATGTGTCGAAGTTTTTACGCAAGTCCCTTCAACTTCGACTTACCGAAGTTCTACTGTATTACGTATAAAAAAATGTTCTACAAGTTGATAAACTACACATTTTCTTATGTATCCACTATACAATTTTATCTTTTAAAACTTTAACAATTTGTGTTTGTGTCTACAGTCATTTCCCTAATAAAATCTTATTTGAATTAACAAAACTTCAAAGATATACCATAATGGTAACTTGATGTTCTAAAAACAAAACTTCAGGACCCAAGCCTCTATTCTCCAACCATTATCAAAAAACTCTTGAATGTATTATAATTTCTTAAATTCACATAAGTTTCTTTTATATTAATTATTATAACAATTAATATCCTATTGGTGTATTTTGAAAAATCATAAATATTAATTTTCATAATAAAACTTTTACAGTTTTTACCTCCATACTAATGAAATTAATTTCCATATTAAAGTTTTCATATTTTAAAAATACAGCACAACACAATGTAAAGACCTTTATATAATATCTAATCCTTATTCTAATAATAGCTGTTTATGAATATTCAACTAAATTATTCTTTTCTCAACATTCATACCACTCATTATTATACCTAGGTACATGATTGCATGAGACACAGTAAATGTAGGAGAAAATATGTCATTATTATTCATTATAGAACAGCACCAAGTCGCTAGAAAACTGTCATGACAGGTCTTTTTGTGTCACTTATTGATTATCAAATTCTGATCTATGATCAAGTTATAATTGATGTGAATGACTATCTTCAATTTCTCTTGTTTTGTTTTTTTACATTAGTATAATCTACATCTCCATAAAGATATCATAGTAACTTTATTTTTCCCGCTGGCATCCAGGTACAATAGCTTTTCATTTTCTTCATTAACTTCCATGTCTTAAATGTAAATGACCTGTCTATGTAACAATGCACTTTCTATGAATCATTATCATTATTGAAAATTGTAACAATGCATTCCAACACATCAGTTGTCTCTTCCACTTGTTTCTTAAAGTCCATGTATACTTTTGACCTTGTTTTCCATTTTAATCCTAGTATAAAAGTTTGATTCACTATGTTGGGTTTTCAGTTTGATACATCCATGTTATGTTTTTGATCAAATCTGCTTTTAAAGTTTTTAGCCATATAAATGAAATAGGTTAACGCCTCCTTTTCAACAACAGGGATGGATTTAAAATGTCTGGCAACTGTCTGAAAAACAGATAAATAAAATTTCATATTGAAACAAACTTCAACAGAACGGGTCAGTCTTAATTAACGATGATCTCTGTAACCAAGACACAGACTTTCTTGCTTTACAGTCATACAGATTGAAAGGCAGAATAATAATATCTGTCATATATCAATATGTTGCGTTTCAGATCAGAATGTCCGTTCCGAGGGGGCGGGTCCCGAGGGACTGATATTCAGATCCGAACCACAAACATATGTAAGATATTTTTTTTTGCATATTCTACCATATACCATCAAATTTTTAATTCTTTACCTTAATAGGGACAATTTTCATGAAATTGATGTCATTACACCCGGAGCTATTTTTTTACAAGAGCATATGGAATTACAGTGTCATTCAGAATGGCGAAATTACATCATCCTATGCATGCTGTTGTATAGCACGCAACTAATCTGGCATCCCCATGCCAGATTAAATTTCCGGCATGGGTAAAACTAACAGAAACACCAGTCTGATATATACAACAATATTAAATTTTAGTGTCAGTGTGACATTGCAACCACTTGGCCATTGTTCCTAAATTTTTGTTATATGATATCAGTATAGGTAAATGAGCCGCGTCACGACAAAACCAACATAGTGCGTTTGCGACCAGCATGGATCCAGACCAGCCTGCGCATCCGCGGGGTCTGATCAGGTTCCATGCTGTTCGCTATCAGTTTCTCTACTTGCTGTTTGTAAGGGAACAGCATGGATCCTGATCAGACTGCGCGGATGCACAGGTTGGTCTGGATCCATGCTGGTCGCAAACCCATAATGTTGGTTTTGTCATGACGCGGCTCAAGTCATTTAGACACAGTTATCATAAATAATACCTACATCTGAGAGTTGTGCTTTATTCATGCCTGGTCTAGCAGGCAATTTATAGTGTCTCTTATAACGTCGTAATGTGTTCACAGGCATTTGGAAAAAGTCAATCTGAAACATGAAATAGAAGATAAGTATTAGATTTACATGGTACTGTATGTTTTGTCGAACCAAATATTTTATATAAACTCACTTCGCACAATTTATTACAAATCCTTACAGCTGAATACTACTTTAAAATTTCTACTAGGTGAAGAAAGTTCCTTGTGGATTTGCTGAGAAATTTAGTCTTTTTGTCAGTCAAAGCTGATAATGACGCTTATAGTATAGCTACCATAATAGTAGTCTTGGTCTTTCAAATGTTCATATGAGATTTACATTACCCATGATTGAACCATAACAGTAACCTCTTGTGAAGAATATGTGTTGAATAACCCCGAGCTTCCTTCAATTTTTTTTCATATTTTGTACACTCTTAACTCTGTATTATCGATGCAACTCTACAACCGTCATACTCTCAGAAATTTGTCATGTGCGGTCATGCAAATGTTGAAGTTAAAAATCTTTGACCTCATTTAATTAAAAAAAAATCATGATTAGTCCAGATTGTTTTGCTTTGCACAACATATTAAACTAGAACTATCACTAAATGTGATTAATACCCCCCGCAAGACTGCTTCGGAAATGAGGATGTTACTAGTAACAGAATACCTTGTAAAGAATTAAAACAGAGTTATGGTTGTGGTTCTTGTATGTTGCATTTCCTTTCAATGTGGTTGGCCATTGATGAAGTTTTATTGGATTACTCTGTAAGAAGTCCAGAAAGACAAGGAAAAGGAACAAAGGGCAATAACTCTATAAATACTGAAGATTGAGTTATGGCTATTGTACACTGCACTTCCTTTCATTGCGCTTGACCATTGTATGAAGTTGTATTGAATTCCAACTACTAGTTTTCAAGTTATGCACTGGACAAAAAAGAAACAAAAGCAATAACTGTAATTAGTCCAAATAGAGTTATTGTTCTTGTGCACTGCACTTCATCTCACTGCCCTTGACCATTGTATAAAGTTTCATTGAATTCCAACCATTAATTTTCAAGTTATGCACTGGACAATAAAAAGTAACAAAGGGCAAAAACTTTTAAATTAGTTAAAAAAGAGTTATGCTTTCTGTGCACTGCACTTCCTCTCAATATACTTGACCATAGTATGAAATAGTTTTGAATTCCAACTAGTAGTTTTCAAGTTATGCTCTGGACAAGAAAAAAGCAATGGAAAAGTAACAAAGGGCAATTACTCTATAATTACTCTGAACAGAGTTATAGTTCTTGTGCTTGACCATTGTATGAAGTTATTTTGAATTCCAACCAGTAGTTTTCAAGTTATGCTCTGGACAAGGAAAAGTAACAAAGGGCAGTAACTCTGTAATTAGTCAAAATGGAGTTATGGTTCTTGTGCACTGCACTTCCTCTTATTGTGCTTGACCATTGTATGTAGTTGTTTTAATTTCCAACCCGTATATTTTAAGTTATGCTCCAGACAAGGAAAAGTATCAAAGGGCAATAACTCTGTAATTTGTCAAAATGGAGTTATAATTCTTGTGCACTGCATTTCCTCTTAATGTGCTCGACAACTGCATGAAGTTGTATTGAATTCCAACCGGTATTTTTAAAGTTATGCTCCAGACAAGGAAAAGTAACAAAGGGCAATAACTCTGTCATTAGTCAAGATGGAGTTATGGTTCTCATGCACTGCACTTCCTCTCAATGTGCTTGAATTCCAACTAGTAGTCTTCAAGTTATGCTCCGGACAAAAAAAAGCAATCGAAAAGTAACAAAGGGCAATAACTCTGTAATTAGTCAAAATGGAGTTATGGTTCTTGTGCATGGCACTTCTCCTTATTGTGCTTAGCCATTGTATGAAGTTGTTTTGAAATCCAACCAGTAGTTTTCAAGTTATGCTCCGGACAAAAAGAAAAGTAACAAAGGGCAGTAACTCTGTAATAAGTCAAAATGGAGTTATGGTTCTTGTGCACTGCACTTCCTCTCAATGTGCTTGACCATTGTATGAAGTTATATTGAATTCCAACAATTAGTCTTCAAGTTTGAGTCCGGACAAAAGAAAGCAATGGAAAAATAACAAAGGGCAATAACTCTGTAATTACTTTAGATAGAGTTATGGTTCTTGTGCACTGCACTTCCCCTTATTGTGCTTGACAATTGTATGAAGTTGTTTCGAGTTTCAACCAGTAGTTTTCAAGTTATGCTCCGGACAAGGAAAAGTAACAAAGGGCAATAACTCTGTAATTAGTCAAGATGGAGTTATGGTTCTTGTACACTGCACTTCCTCTCAATGTGCTTGACCATTGTATGAAGTTATATTGAATTCCAACTATTAGTCTTCAAGTTATAGTCCGGACAAAAGAAAGCAATGGAAAAATAACAAAGGGCAATAACTCTGTAATTACTTTAGATAGAGTTATGGTTCTTGTGCACTGCACTTCCCCTTATTGTGCTTGACAATTGTATGAAGTTGTTTCGAGTTTCAACCAGTAGTTTTCAAGTTATGCTCCGGACAAGGAAAAGTAACAAAGGGCAATAACTCTGTAATTAGTCAAGATGGAGTTATGGTTCTTGTGCACTGCACTTCCTCTCAATGTGCTTGACCATTGTATGAAGTTATATTGAATTCCAACCATTAGTCTTCAAGTTATGCTCCGGACAAGGAAAATGCAACAGACCGCTGGACCGACCGACCGACCACCGGGTGATTCCTATATACCCCCCCAAACTTCGTTTTTGGGGGTATAATTAATAAATTCATAAATGAAATTGAATGCAGACATATAGGAAACATTAAGTAAGTTGATAATACAGAGTTTCATGCTACTTACTTCAGGAATGTCTTCATCAGCATCGAGAGATCCATCGCCATCGTCACTGTCACGTCTCTTCCGCTTCATTCTCGCATTTTGTATCATGTTTTTATGAAAATCACAAATATAAATGTGATTTACCTGAAATAGGAAAATTGAGTATTAAATAGAGGTTAGGCGAGTCACAGTGTAAACTAGACATGTTTCCAAACATTGTGCCGAGGACACATTTTTATAAATTAAAATTATATTAAATACTTTTGCCTGTTACATTAATTTGGTATACAATGTTCATGTATATCAATATTATGGAAAATTAACAATTGAAAGGCAAGCATCTCTAGTAACATATAAACTTCAAACTTTATAAATATGATGACAGCCTGATGAAGGGCTCTACACAAAAACAAATGTCAACACAGTGACCTCTTTAAAAATCTTTCAAGATGGAACCTTTTTATAATTACAGCCAGTATGGAATAAAAGTTTAAAATTTTGTACCAAGAGCCAGAAGTTGTACCTAAATTTCAACACTGCTGTGTATAATTAACCTTAAAAGACGGTAAGAAAAAGCTATGATTATTACAATGTGAGCTATTATAGAAAATATATTATCACCTTTTATCAAACCTTTACTTCGTGCAATTGTTAATTTTCTTATAAACCACACAATTTCAGTAACAGTTTTCTTATCAATTTCCAAATTTTTAACAGGTACAGTTTTCTTATCAATTTCCATTAAAAATTAAAACAAGGAAAGCTGAAGTACAGCTACATGTAATACAGTATATTCCCTGCATTAGTGGACATGAATGTGGATTTTTTAACCTTTGACTAACCTTGCATTAGGGAGTTACCACTGGCTGTGTGCTTTGTACATTTTAAGATTATTGTATCATGTCAGAGCACTTGACCTCTATATTTGTCCTTGGACCTTGGATTTTGTCCTCTGCATATGGTGTCATGGTGGTGGTCATTTGATCAAAGTTACTTTAAAACTTTACTAGTATAGAGTGGACATGAAATAAGGACCTTTATACATCTTATCTGTGAGTGTGACCTTGACCTTGGGGATAGTCGCCTGTTGTGCCAAGTTATCTTAAAAAATTTATATAGTAGTAACAGAAACATGCACTAGAACATCTGACCTTATATGTCACCTTGACCTTGAGGGTAGCAACCTGGATGTTTTTCAAACATCATGTCTTGGTTCAAGTTTGTGGGGATCATATATGCCAAGTAATTAATAATTCTTCCAAAAAGTGAAAATTTATGGAGCAGACATGATGTGAATTTTTTAACATTTAACCTGTATGTGTGACCTTGACATAGTGGGTAGCAAACTGGATGTTGCACTCCACACATTAAAACATAGTTATGATAATTTGTACAAAGTTATTCATAGACATTAAGTTACAGAGTGGACACAAAATGTAGTATTTCAAACATTTAACCTTTAAAGGTGATTTTGATTAACAAGCTTGTTGCTGCACACTGAACATCATCTCATAATGGTCAATGGTCAGTAACAATCAGACAGACTGACACCATCATATTTTCTATGTGATATGGGACTCCTACTTTTTGTGTCGCCTTGAAAAGGTGACATATAGGGGTTACTTTTGTCGGCGGTGTCTGTGTCGTTGTCGGCGTCTGTGTCGGCGTCCCCTAAAGCTTGTCCGGAGCATAACTCAGTCACTATAAGTCTGATTGACTTCAAACTTGGTATGCATGCTTCTTTCAATAACCCGAAGTGCAGTGCACAAGGACCGGTACTCTGCAGTTCTTATTTTTTGAGTTATTGCCCTTTGTTATTTTTCATACTTTAATTTTGTCCGGGCCATTTCTCTTCAACTAAAAAAGCTATGGACTTGAAACTTCATAGGATGATAGATCTCATTATTAAGAAGTGCAGTGCACAAGAACCAGTACTCTGCACTTCCTAATTTTTTGAGTTATTGCCCTTTGTTAATTTCATACTTTATTTTTGTCCGGGCCATTTCTCCTAATGTATAAAAGCCATGGACTTGAAACTTCATAGGATGATAGGTCTCATTAAGAAGAAGTGCAGTGCACAAGAACTGGTACTCTGCATTTTTTTATTTTTTGAGTTATGGCCCATTGTTAATTTTCATACTTGATTTTTGTCCAGGCCATTTCTCTCTGAAAGTATAAAAGTTATGGACTTGAAACTTCATAGGATGATAGATCTCATTAAAAAGAAGTGCAGTGCATAAGAACTGATACCCTGCATTTCTTATTTTTGAGTTAATGCCCTTTGTTGATTTTCTTACTTTATTTTTGTCCTGGTCATTTCTCCTCAAGTATGAAAGCTATGGACTTGAAACATCATAGAATGATAGATCTTATTGATAAGAAGTGCAGTGTACAGAAACTGCTGCTCTGCACTTATTATTTTTTTAGTTATTGCCCTTTGTTATTTTTCATTTTTCATTTTTGTCCTGGCCATTTCCTCTAAACTACATTGTTCACAAGGCGACACATCCGACTCGCGGAGTTCTAGTTCTGGCTTGGGAGCCCCTGGACTCCTATTTTGAAAGTCCTAGTGAGAACCCTGCCATGCCTATAATTTTTAACAATATAAAGAAAATCCTTTTTTGACATAATTTAACCTACACTATCGTCTCGAATGAGACGTAATCGGCGCTGTTGAACAGTCTTTTGGATACGTTTGCTATAGCTTGCGTTGCCAGCAGGTCTTGAACAGCGATGAGCCCCGTCTATTAAACAACAGATTTGGTTATGTCCAGTACCTCTTGTTTCTTCCTCTGTACTGAACCCATTCATAGCAAACCTAGAAAATATACAGAACAGTACTCTGATTTAACTTGTCCTTACACATTGACTTACTCATAAGACAATCTTTAATTGGCTTAGTCATTAAACAAGAGGACCATAATGGCCCTTAAAACGCTCACCTGTATATAGGCCCCCCGAGCGGGGCCAATTTTAACCCAGGGGCTTTTTTTTTACCAACTTCGTAGAAACCCATTAGAAGATGTTTCATGATACATTCAACATGTACATATCTAAGCTCTAGCTCTTTGGGGGTTTTTAAAAGAAGATTTATTAAGTTTTTACTATAGACATATAAGGAAAATCATTTATTCGAAGAAATTTGGTAGACACTCACTAGAAGATGTTTCATGCTAAATACCTAAGCTTTAGCTCTATGGGTTATTTAAAAGAAGATGTTTAACTCTTTTGATTAATTTACCTTTGACGTAAGGAAAATCCCTAGCCTGGTTGGTCGCTATTTATATAAATACTAAAAATAGTAACACCCTAACTTTATGCATGGAATGCCCTAATGAATGATCAATTTTTACGATTAGTTTTTGTATCAAATAACCGATATTTGGACAAGTAAAATTAAGTCAACATTTCTTTTGCTTCTTCCACTGAGATCATGCAAGTCGACAATTCTGGCTTAAATGCGGTAATCGATAAAGCATTCAATTTTCGCTAAGAACTATTGGGGAATGATAACAGTCGGCGAAAGTTGTTTGCAAAAATTTTAATTCAAAGAAATATTGACATGTACAACAGAAAATGATTTCATTTAGTACATTTTATGGATCTGTAATTGCTTTAAATTAGAGCTTAAAATACTGGTTTTTCAGGTCTGTACCGCGGAACGTACCGCAGATGTCTCAGACCGTGGTTTACCGGTATACCGGTTAAACCAGGACCTCTAACTATGAATGTGTATTTATTTGATGCTGAATAAAAATTGTTCTTTAAAAATAAAGTTGATGTGTTTTTCTGTCAAGAAAGGTTTCTATACTTTTTTCAGGTATTTTAATCCAATCAACACCTTCATTGCAAGAGACTGAAGTTACGTTGTTGTGATCATTTGAATAACACCTGTAATTATCATAAAGGTAAATTAATCAACTCCATTCATTTGTTTAAACAGAGAATAAAGTGCTTTAAAATATGTTCTAGTTTGTCACAAAACTGTTTAGGTACAAATATAAATATCAGAGATATATGCAATAATTTACACATAAAAAAACCCATAATATTAATTAAATTAAATGTTTTATCAAACTTGATAAAGAAGATGATGTTCAAAGGTTTTTTCTAATTTTAGCTATGTTGACCCCTAAAAGGGGCCAATTGAAATTGCATGAGCAAATTTAAGTGTGACTGTCACAAGGATGCTACAGACCAAATTTGAGGTAAATCTGCCTATCACTTTCAGAGATGATTGTTGACGCATGACGACATATGACGGACGCCAGAGTATCCCCTTTGATACTAAAAGTAAAAGCTCCCCCTGAACCTTCAGTTCTGGTTGAGCTAAAAAATTAAATTGTATCTAATCCTATAAATATGATGGTGCTTTGAGTTATTTCAACTTCTTGCCAAGCATCACAAACTATAACAAGCCCATAATGTCTGATATACTCAGGACTTAAACTTGTATCATGCAGTTATTTGTTTTTTCTAAATAATCAATTATAAATGAATCTTAAAGTTACACTATAAATCTATTGATCATCAGTATAAAATTTTGAGGTACAGTGACAGTCTGCATCAACGCACACAGTTCACCCCCAAAATAGGGGATAAAACAGACGGGGGAGGAACAAATGAGACACAGATACTCTGTGAAAATAAAAAAATACCATCTAGCCTTAAACAGCATAAATGCATCATATACGTTCAGAAGAAAGTGACAATTACTAGTAATCATTATTGTAAAAGTACAAAACATATTCTTCAAGAATGCACGACATTCAAGCCTACTTTTATTATACATTTTGTTGCTAAATATTTTACTCACAAGACTACTCCCCACCCACATTTCTCAAAATGGAGGTAACCAAAACAATGAATAGTTTTCTCGCGCAAGAAGGAATTAAACCTATAAATACGTTACGATGTAGAGCTTACTTGATACTCACACATTAGATCTAGATACCAGGATGTCCTCACGATGGCCGGACTTAAAATCAGAGCTTGTTTTCCGATTTAAAGTTTTCTCACTTTCCTTTTCTCGTTGGATGGAAATCAAAATGGCGAAAAGGGTCAAAGGTCAAGTTTGCGTATAATCAAATACGCTCCGCCTTCTTAAAAAATCTGAATAGGTTACAAACACATTAATTCAAAATTTTAAAAATATTCAACATGTTTAATATTAAACTTATTATTGGATTTAAAACATTATTGAACTGAGCAATTTCTGAAAAGTTTGAAAAAAATCATGTAATTGATATTTCGCGCTCTATTGACTTCATCACATGTGAGTGCAAGCTGCGTGAGCATTCCTAATTATTATGCATTGACGTCATTTATTATTCTCAAACTTCATTGGATCGCGCACCGGTAAAATTTACACTTCTGACCAATCAGAATGGCTTATTTCCCCATATTCTGCAATACAGCTCGTAACGTAGCGTGGGCCTTCATTGCAAAGCTTATCAAGTTTAGCTGTTAACCGAGGTAAGAAAATTATTGTTTTCTTGTTTGAAAAAGAAATGTTAGTTCATAAGTTATCGTTGAGCATTAGAAAAATCATTTTTCTTCATCTTTGTTGACTTTCTTTTATTGATTATAATGTTTTTCATAATGCAATATTAATTTTTCTCAAGCCGGTAGCTGCATAGATTTTGATAGCCGGGCGGCCATTTATGCTTATAAATTTTATGAAAAATTGCGTTGTGAGCGTCTGTGATTTATTCGTTATTAAAACAGAGTGTAAGTTATTTTTTACCATATTGATAAACTTACATTCATTTTCAAATAATTTATGTATTTAAAAAAGTAAATCACACATTTTTAGACCGAAATCGCGAGCACTGAAAAGTTGTCTTCTTTGTCGTCGATCTCCCATAGACCGCCATAGTGAAACGCCTGGCTATGTGTTTCAATGTAGAAGCAATAGTCTCTATACAAACCCTATGTATCATACTGATAATATAGTGGTTGCGACAACTTCAAAAAATCTACCTCAAATATGAAAATCATGAATATATTTTGCAATAAGATCGTGCACAGATGATTTTTAATGGGACTTTCATTCATGACTCGTAAATCAGACATCTTGAAGTGAACTTTGAGGTCGTTCTTTCTTGCTGAATTTTCATGGCGGATTTTCCCTATTCCCTGTTGCTTTTGTATAGGAGGCTATATAAACAGTATACTATATAGTGGCATGTGAAACGGACATGACACTGGTTAGTTTTATAGCATTTGAAACTGTTTTGTTGTTGAATTAAACGACTGAAAAGGAATTTTCTTTGTCTTTTTGATATCGACAGTGTGTAAAAATGGCGGTTCTTCTATACATGAGGAAATATTATGCAAATTAGGTGATCAACAGAACTGAACTGTTTTGATCAATTTCAAAATGGGTAAAATGGCCAGAAATGAAGGGCTGTTTAAAAATAAAATGTTATTATACACAAATACATGTTATTTAAGGATTAATATTATGTCTGTACTGTATTTAACAATAATTTCAAAGAAATATGTTTACAGATCATTTAATGTGTTGTTTTTTTCAAGTCTATTGCTAGCAAAGCTAATGATTTATTTAGATCTGTGTTTTGGCTTGAAATAATTTTGTTAAGTATGAGTACAAAATCCAAATTTATATAGATTGCAGTATACATGTACATGTATTATTATAATACTGTATATAATTTTATAGGTGTACTGACAGTACTGTACTGTATACTAAGTTCTAGTATGTTAAAGTTTGATTTACAAGAGAGTAAAAATAAGACTTTAAAGAATAAATCTTATTGATATCTAATTGGAACCTAAATATTTATTCTTCAAGTACTGGGTTTTATCTAAAAAATTTAACAGAAATCTTATTCATATTTTCTTTATTAATAGATCTAATTTTGTTTTCTTTTACACAAAATGTTATGAGATAAGGTTATAATTGATCATTTAATACAAATTATTTTATGACATTGATGATGGTAATCCTATATTCATTTACAAAAAATAAGTTAAGTGAGCAGTCAAAATGTATTTTTTTCGATCAGTATACTATCAATCGCATTATAATCATTTTATCTTGTGTAACATTTTTTGTACTAATATTTTAAAAGATACTTTGTTTATGTTAGACATAGGCCATAACAAACAAACAATCAAGACACCCACTTTTAGATAAACAGTTCGGTAAAGGGCAATAACTCTGCATACTGCTGTAAAGACTACATGTTGTAACAGAAAAATATAGGGTTTTTCTTTTAGAAGAATTGTTCATTAGCAAATGAATAAGTTAGAAATTGTATAGTAAATTTTTTCTCATTTTTGAAGAAAGATCTTCAAATTAAGTTCAGATGTTATGAATTTCTACATATTGTAATAGCTTTGTTATTTCCTATCTTTCCAGACTTTCTGCTCTACACATCAACCTTCCAAATAATCATGCCTAAAGCCAAAACTGACAAGCCAAAGGGACGTATGTCCTCTTATGCTTACTTTGTACAGTGTTGTCGTGAGGAGCACAAGAAGAAACATCCAGGAGAGAATGTTGTTTTTGCAGAATTTACCAAAAAGTGTGCTTCTAAATGGAAGGTTATAATGAATTTCACATTATTTCACATAATGAAAGCCCCACTTCACATAATGGATATGTAGTCATGAGTCACTCCCATCCCATCCTGATAGTTTTTCTTTGATACCTTCTGAACAATATTAGATACTAACTTTTAACTTAAAATTTTTTTTGTCAAATTGCCAATTAATTACTATATAATGAATCAAAATCAAACTTGGAATACTAGTTTGTCATTACAATGCACAGTTGTTTAATATGGGGCATTATTTTGAAAACAAAATTTTTAGGAGTTATGGCCCTTTATAACTTGAAATTTTTGTCAAAATTGACTATTAACTTATTAAGTTGCATGCTTTTAAAACTATGATTGGTATCAACATGAAACTTTGAATACTTATTTATCATGCCCATGCACAGTTATTCTGAAAGCAATAATGTTAGAGTTGTGCCCTTAATTACTTTCAATTATTTATCAAAATTGATCAGTGATGATTTATATTGTACACCTTGTCTGGTCTTCTAAGGATGATCACTTTGCACCAATCAGACTTCAGATAGTATCACACCTGTTTTAATGTTACAGGAAATGACACCAAAAGAGAAGAAACGTTTTGAGGAGATGGCAGAGAAGGACAAGGCCAGATATGAAAAAGAAATGTCAACTTATGTTCCACCAGCAGGTGGACCTGTGAAAGGAAAGAAAAGGACCAAGGACCCAAATGCCCCCAAAAGGGCTCTGTAAGTGCTTATTTATAGTTCATACTGTCATTGAGTAGATTTTGTATTTTACCTAGATTGTTGGAATCATTTACAGTTGCATAGTAACTTGTCGGTTAAAAATGAATCAGACGAGTTAAAAAAGAAATAAAGTCATGTAAAAGGTTTGTATACATTTTGTGTAAGGGCTCTTGTATGGCAAAATATTGGGCATAAAATAAGCCCCACATCCCTGTAAAAGAAGTATTTTTCCACCAAATTCTAAACAGAATTTTCGATGAAAATCATAATCAGCAGGCATAGACTATGGTTGAGTATATTCAATATTATATGTCCCATATACTGTAAAGAAACATGTCATTTTAACTTATTTAAGACTTTAAATAATCATCAATTCATTAGAAAACTTAATGTTTAAAACAGATTTTATTAATGATTAAGAAATATTTCCTAGTTCTTTGTACTTGTTTTGTTTTGTCAATTTCAGTCTAAGAAGAAGAAAAATATTTAAAATCATGCAAAGTTCCCCTCTATGGTCCTCTAAATCATCTCAAAATGCTTGTGAGAGCCCTGTTTGTTATTGCCATATTGCTGATTCAGATTACCTAATTCTTTACAGGTCAGCCTTCTTTGTGTTCTGTAATGAGGAGAGGCCAAAAGTGCGTGCAATCCACCCTGGATATACTGTAGGAGATGTTGCGAAGGAACTAGGAAAACGTTGGGAGGCTGTCAGTGACCGGTCAAAATTTGAAAAGTTAGCTGCAGAAGACAAGAAAAGATACGAAGCTGTAAGCTCTACTTTATTTTCTTTTATGTTTTAGATACTTTATAGAAGTGTAGAAATGTTGTATCTGAAGGCATGTCTTTAGAATATTTAAACAGTTCTTGGAAAGTTGGCATAAATGAGATTGTACTACATAGATCTATTTTCTTTTATGTTTTAGATACTTTATAGAAGTGTAGAAATGTTGTATCTGAAGGCATGTCTTTAGAATATTTAAACAGTTCTTGGAAAGTTGGCATAAATGAGATTGTACTACATAGTTCTTATCAGTTTATAATTATTGTTTTGTCCAGTTTGTAACATAATGGGTACTTTTAAGGACAATTTCGGGAGTTTTCATAATTATAGACATATTGGCAAAATTAAAACTGTTCTATAGAATTTCTTTAAACTTGGCATGTTGTTAGAATGTAACAGAAAAATTTGAAGCGAAAAAAAATTGGGGTTACCGTTCTCGTTTTTGAGTTATCTGCCCCTGAATCAGAATTTTCTACTTATTTGAGGTCATTTAAAAGGGTAGATAACTTATACATACGTAAATGAATTCTTGTTTTTACTTCTGGATAATGTTTTTCTTTTATTGTTGAATACATTTACATAATTACATGCAATTCCTTATATCGTTTCTTTTATTTTTTTCAATGAAAGTAAATGTACTTTAAATTCATAAAAAATAGGCCAATTTTCAAGAAAAAATGCACTTCTTGAAATTTTGCATATTAACTTAAGACGTATGTAAGTTTAATGAAAATAAGAAAGAAAAAAAATGTATTGCTTTGCTTCATTGTAAATTATCTGCTCTTGAATTTAACCAAAAAGTTCAATTCAAGGGCAGATAACTCGAAAATAAGAATTGTGACCCCAAATTTTTTTTCGTTTAAAATGTTTCTGTTATCATATTCTAATAACATGCCAATTTTAAAGAAATTCTATTGAACAGTTTTAATTTTGCCTATATGTCTATATTAAAACTCCGGAAAACGTCCTTCAGAAGTGCAGGAGTTAATTCTCAGCCTCTGACCACTGGGTTGCTGTTCCTGACCTTGAACCAGTTGTCGCTCACGGCTGTTTATTGAGATCATGCCAATTGATATTATGTCTTTATTTACCACTGAAAAATCTACGTACAACTTAAAAACAATCGATCATAAAAAAAATATTTTAAATTGATTTAGATTGAAACATACTACTTTTATGTGCTGTGACTTATATTTTCTAAAATATCATGCTGCTTTTATGTGATGTTACTTTTAATTTTATAATGACAGATTTTGTCTAACAGCTTCTTTTAAAAGGATGTAACAGGTTTCATTGATTATGAATTAAAAAAATTACGAAAAAGTATGATAAATAAAATTAAATATGTATAGTAGTTGATAAGGAGAGAAATTTATTCCATATAATGAATGATGTGAATGTAAAAATAAAAACCATTGATTGCACTCCATAATGATGTGAATGCAAAAATGAAACCATTGATTGCAGTGTAGGCAAATTGTTGATTTCAGGAGATGGAAGTTTACAGATCAGGTGGTGCAAGCCCAAAGAAAGCTGCAGGTAGATCACCACAGAAGAAGCAGAAGGTTCAAGAGAGTGAAGAAGAAGAAGATAGTGATGAGGAGGAGGAAGAAGATGAGGACGATGATGAGTAAACTGTCGAAAACACACTATAAGTCTACATCAATCATGAACAAATGAGTCCCATATTTTATTTTTTCACTTGGTGAATTAGTAATTTAAGAAATGTCGAATATATAAATGTGAAAAAGATAAATATAATAAAGATTGAAAAGGTAATTTTGAATTTAAAAGATGGAAAATATTAACTGGTCTGTTATAAAAGTTTTATGTTGTTTAAAATTGAAAATCTGAATATAGTGCAAATATTTATTTTTTGTTGTACACATAGCATTATAAAAATGGCAGACAATGTAAGAAGAATTGTTCATATAAATTTGTACTTTGTTGTACACATATTATCTGTTAATGTACGTGGAAGAATGGATGCTGATTGTTGGTTACTATCACTTGCTTTATCTATTTACATTAGCCATATACACTTGTACATCCCAGCCTTTTTCATTCGATATCCAACTACAGTTTTGTTTGATCTTCTGTCACAATATTATACTAACACATCATGCACATCTAACTATTGGAAAATACAAGATATTTTGATCATTTATACCTTAAAAAATACTGCATTCAAGCAGATTCTCATATGCATTTACTTGTTGGAACAGTATCATTGTAAAGTTCAAGCATAATACATATACTGTAGGCACATTTCATATTTTTGTTTTCATGTTTTTCATTCATTCCTATGTTGTAAATACCCATTTCTCATTTAATGTTATTTGTTTATATTTTAGCGTTTTTTATCAGCATCTTATTATCATACTCATTCATGATTTATAAATGTATAAAGTTACAGATACTTGTCTAATATGATCTGCTAACATTTTAAAAGGAAAAGAAAAATATATTTGTGTATGAAAATAAGATACTCAGTAAAATGTTAATGTTGTTTTAATTGTATGAAAGTGCTCAAAGCGAATGTTTGTACATATCTGTGTATGTAGAGAAACAATGTCAGTAATATTCTGTGAAATAAAAGTAGTTTTACAGCAGATTCTGTTTTTGGTATTTATATTGAAACTCTGCATTATATAAGAGTATGTTCACCTACTTAGCTCAATAGTGTAAGCATCAAATTAGTAATCTAAAAGTGTTGCTGAAATTGGCAATAACTGGTTAGTTATCCAGGAAAACTTGTTGGGTGGTTTGACAGCCAAATTATGATCAAAAATGCGCTTGTTGGCATAAATAAGAACCAGAGAAAGAGTATAAATCAGATGTTATCTTCAAATGATTACATGTATATCTAAAAGAAAAGTCTTGATTTACAGTTAAAAGCAAGATACATACTGCGTTTAGTAAGATTTGACAGCTGGTATATATAGAAAGGCATATTAAATTGTACCTTGTTGAACCACAAGCAGTTGTTTCACATTTCTCCTTGAAGTCCTTTGGTCTTCGAGTAATGCCTGAAATCCATTTACAAGACGTCTTACTTTGCCTTGTATATACAGTGTCATTCATAAATAACTTGACATTCCTTGGTATATTGCTTTGAGACACAGAAAGTAGCCATTTCTGAGACATTTGTTGCATCAGTCTGGTGTAAATGACTAAGTTGAAAAACAAATTTCATTATATTTAAATAGGTAAGGCATCCCTTACCTACTTCTATCCAACCTGGCATGATTAACAAACTGTATTCTCTTTGAAATTAAGTTAATGTTTGTCAAGGTATGAATCTTTATTCAAGGTTGCCAGGTGTACATTGCTTGGACTTGGCAATTGAGTTGGTCATTGATTCATACTCTTGTATGATTTTACACAGCTTTCTAACATTCTAGTACAAGTACTCACTGCTATGGTCCAATAACTCAGTTCCTCAATTGATCAATGTATCTCCTTTCATTCAGTCTAGATACATTCACAGCTTTCGCAGTTCACCTGTATGTCATACAGTAAATTTCAGACATCATATTTCCTCAATGGGTTTTAACTGTATCGCACAATACGGTTTAAGCTCATTAAGTGGTTCTACGCCTCAACTCCATGAACTTCAACTTGTTTATTTGGCTACAAACAATAGTACTATTATGATGAATGGTGTAACAAATCTTGTATAGTGACTCTGGAAGGAGCTTGCTGAGTATCTAGAAGGCTACTGTAGAGTAGATTTGGTACGTAAGTCGCCAGACTGCTTATTTATGTCACACCAATGACTGGCAGTTGAGGCACGAACAGCACGGTTTTAAGAGAGACAAAATGTAAGTGTTGAACAATGTAGGGGGCTTAGTAAAGGCAGTTTTTACGACAGGTGTAAAAATGAGATGGAAGGCACTGGTTTAGTTTATGATTTAGCGTTGTTTTTTTTCTCTCGATACTGTAAAGGGGGACAATCCTTGGACCATTTAGATCGCACCCAAACTGGATTACTTCCTCTATGAAGCCATAAATAAATGTCCGTTAATACCATATAAATTCGTCCATGTTATTAGTAATCGTCATTTTTATCTATTTGATATGTACTAGCTTATATTGTAATGTTAATTAACCTGTTTCACATGTCTTGAATTTACATTTTCTGCTTTCATTTGGGAACGGAGATGGTACGTTGCAATGAATCTGCGCAAAACTCTTTCAATCATTAAAATGGTTGGACAGTTTAATTGGTGGTTCTTGTTGTCCAACTTTTTGTGATCTGTTATAACGTTTGTAACAACTGTTTTCTACATGAAATCGCGTTAATCATTTGATTATATCAAAATTGATTCTTAGATTATAAACTGGTCTGGCTCTGTCAGACATTATCAAAGTTTTGTACTGTTTATTTTAAATCATTTCAACTGATTATGACACAAATTTTCTAGAAGGAACACATACCGTGGAAATAATTATACATGTGCATATGTGACGCGATGAAAGTAACAATTAAGTTGACTTCATGCACGTTGTGTTTACGAAAAAAAAATCGTGTCTAGTGTTTCCACCAGGAGATGGATATTTAGTTTTTTATATAAGGCTCACATACAAGGGAGAGAACTCTTGCAAAACTTTTTTAATTTCTTAATTTTCAAGAGGGAAACAACTCTTCTGGTCTTATTTATACAAACGATAGGCCAAACCAAGTTCATTGTTTGTTGTTCATTGTTTTATGGTTATTAAGAGACCAAATCAATTATTTCACGTGGGTTATATTCCAGAAGTGTTTTGGAGTTTTAAGCCCATAAGCTGCTAGAACTGACAGTGGTAACCCGCCATTATATAGCCAGGAGGCCGGCCAAAACATCCGTGCAATTTGATCTATACTGTTCGTTCCCGCATTATTTCTATTTTGATCATGATTGAAATGCCTATATGTAAGGCAATAAAGTCAATAAATTAATATTTTACAATTTCAACCGTGTCTGAAAGTAGTTCCAATAGGTCACCTTGTTATGTCAGAGGTCTATTGCGAATCATAACAGCTTAGGAGATGACAGGGTTCGCACAGTTTTAAAAAGTGCTTAAATATGAGCCCTTTTCTTAATAAGTGCTTAAAAATAAAAAAAGTGCTTAAACGTTGTTGAATATGATTACTGCACTGAAAAGTGCTTAAAAAGTGCTTAAATTTGCTGCAAATATGCTTGAAAATGATTGAATGACATAGTGTCGATTTTCAGCGCCAATTAACAAGAAAAAAAAGAAGAAAAAAGATCTAATTTAGTACCAAAGTCAATGAATAATGATAAAAGTTCAATTTGCTGATCATACTAAACTAGTTTAGTTGCAATTTACATTAATATACATTATACAATGTATGAAAATATCACATAATGTGCAATGTATGTTATTCAGCAGTTAAGAATACATGTAAAGCTTCTAATGTTTTATGGCTGTTTTAAAGTTACTTTTATCATTGGCTTCAAATAACACATGTGCAACAAAATGTGTTTGAAAAATTAAATTTTGGCATTCGATGTCTGTACGAACATCATGAGATTGTTCACACCTTTTAAAGGTTGCTTAAAAGTCTACAAAACCTAAGATTAGACCCAGGAAAATGTTCATATGGCAGAGTTAAAAAAACTTTTTCGACAGGAGTTATGGTGGTCACATGTAAAATAATGTTCATTGTTACAATTGTGTAAGTCGGTGCACAATTAAAAACCCATCGACAGATATTCGTTTTTTTTTCTTGTGTGGTGTAGGTGTTTGGAGATGTTGAGTTTTTTTTTGTTGTTAGGTTCGGGATTTGTTTGAATTTCAATCCAGCCCCGCAAATGATGAAATATGTATAATGTACCCGTAGTCCGGAAGATAATAGCGACCATCTAAAGCGCAAATATGATAAAGTTCTTCACAAACAATTGCATAGGTAAAATGTACTAATTAAATGTGCAAAAATAATGAAATGATAAGCCCCACATCTCAAAACTAAAATAAATTTAATACATAAGATAGTCATGATGAAATTAGATAAGCACTTATCAGTGGCTTAGAACATCATCTCTTTCTGACTAAATTGTGACGGACACACCATAAATCATACCTGATGTTGTTTCTTCACAAACCTGAAAAAATGACAGCAGTCAAAGGCCCATTATGCCCAAAAAATGCTTTTATTTTCATCTCTGGAAAGTTTTTTAATTTTGTTGTCCTAGTTTCCTTAAAGTTACTCATTCACCAATAACGTTTAATCTGTTGCCATTTGTAGTACAGTTATAATGAGTTAGTATTTTGTATAGACATTAAAATATGTTGTTGTTTTTCAACACAGCATATATATTAAGTATTATACTGATATACGTTGTACATAACGCTTTTCAATCAAATTAAGGTAAAGTAACTCTAATATACGATTTTCATTTTATTTTGAGTATATTTCTCAATTATGTTTTGCACATCTTTCTTTTTAGGCGTTCAAGTTGATCTATGTAAAAAAATAAAAAAATAAAGTTTTTATAGGCTTTTGGACCTGAGTGGAGTTCCTTTAAATAGTCTTTCTCGCGCATAGACGTTTCGTACGTGGCATGGAGTGCTTTGATTGGTTGCATCTGGTCATTCGGTCATTTCCGTCAGTCTTCGGATAATGAATAATAGACGAGGACATTCCGGTTGGTCATTTACATCAACGATGCCGAATTTACACGAATTTAAGATAGACGAATTATTTTTAACCTCAATACAGTTTTTTTTAAAGATCCTGTATATATATGTTGTAATTAAGGTTGTAACCACACTTAAGTGAAATTTTACGATTTGATCAAAAAGTTCTTGGCCCGATGTACTTCCGGTAGTCAAAGAACCCAAATAATGATCTTAATTTTCAATATAATCGCCCTCAACATCAATGAACTTAGCCCATCTGTGCTCTTGTTTAACACTTCAAGAAAGAACCCTCTATTTTGGTCGTCAAAAAACTCATTGACCGCCTCCATGACACCTTCATTGCTTCCAAAACGTCTTCCATGAAGCCTTGTTTTCAGTTTTGGAAACAGGTAGAATTCAGAGGGGGGCAAGTCCGGATATATGGTTGCGGGGGGGGGGGGGGGATGGGAAAGAATTTCAAAGCGCAGTCAGTTCCAGCAGCCATCGCAACTTTGAATGTGTGAGCTGGCGCATTGTCGTTAGAAAGGGTGAGCCAGGGTGCGTCCACTGCATGCTCTGTTTTTTTGGATTCTGGATCGAAGTGAAGGACCCATGTTTCATCCCGAGTTACGATCCAGCAGATAAAATCAGGTTCATCCTCGTAGCGAGACAAAAGATATCTTGAAATGTCTAGCCTTATCAGTCAACTGTCTGGGGACACATCTAGCGGAAACCTTTTACATGCCATAGACATCAGTTAGAATTGCCTGAACTGAACCAAAGCTTATACCCACTTCCCTAGCAATGCTTCTCAGATCTCGACTTCTGTCGCACATGACCAGATCGTGCACAGCTTCGGCAGTTTCATCGTTAGTGTAATAGTTTATGTAATCATGAAAATATGTGCATTCTTTTATAAAAAAAAATAATTTTCTAATTACCTCCCATTATTAATATGGAAATGTAAATTCGGTAATATCTTTACAAATAATGCTTTTTGAAACTTATATAAACAATATTGATAAATCTTCATTTGAGCATCATGTTTATGATATAAAAGTTACAGGATCTTTAAGTTTTATAGAAATTAGACACAATACAATAAATACTGTAGACGCAATAGCTAGCTTGCTTCTAGAATTTATGCATCGTTTTTTTCATATCAAGGCAAATGAACTTGAATAAAATTCTGTACGTGATTGCTTTATTAATACTTGGTTTGAAACATTTCGTGCATGACAAAGATGATATATGATACATTTTTTAACATTGGCAGAATGGAACCATGAATGAATCCTTCAGTTTCAATGACTTCAAGCGTTAACAAAGAGTATGTTTTGTACAAACAGTGGTGTAACGTTTTTTACTCTCATCATCAAATTCCCAAAATAGAATATCTTTATAATAATCGGACAATGATACATCGAACAAATCTTTACAAAGTTATGGTAAAACGTTTGTAAACTTTCACCATCTATCGAGATATTTCTTCCAAACTTGTAGTGACATTTCCGTGTCTGGCGAATGGATGAATACATATCTTGTTTTTGTATCGTTTTTCAAAGCTCCTAAGATATCAGCAGTATTCTCGACAATGTACCTATCATTTAGTGACGTTGGCGTCACATTTGTCGCGTTAGTAACATCCCCCTGCGTAAAAATCATTACCCCAAAAAAAGGGATTTTTGTGGACTTAGATAAAAAATTTTTGGGCAACTCATTTCTTTATGAGATATGCCGAAAACCGAACAGTATTTTTAAAAAAAGAATTTTTTTCCCGGGGAAATCTTTTATCTGATGTATACCACTTACTGGTCTTATTTCTATCAACATTCATATGTTTCCAGATATAACCAGCAAGAATTTTGCTCGTACCCCACTTATGTTCAATGTAAGACCTCATTAAACGAACTACTCTATGAATATCAACAATAATGTCATCATCAGTTTTTAAAACATAAGTTGCACCGGGACAATATTCAGTAACCCATTTGAGCCCAGTTATTGCCTTATACGTCAAATTTCGGTAAGTATCCGTAAAGTTCCCTTGTATAATATCTTTATAAAGTTCACTTTCAGTTTCAAGCGTTGTTTGAACATTATCATCATCGACTTCTCCCATTACAAACACTAATTTCGCTTTGTGTCTTTTTAAGTTTTCCGGCGATGCCCACGTCTTCCTGATCACGCGTCTGCGTTCTGTATTCTCTGGACCAGAGTGAACATAGATCATGAGATAGCGATCTTTTGAACACGCTTCTTGGTTAATACTAAATTCTATTCCGCCCCCGTTTATATAAACCTGATTTCTCGTCGTGGAAGGCAAATCTGTCGTTGTCGTCGTTGTTTGATCATCCGAAGTATTTGACTCTTCATATTCGAGTTCGTCAAAGTTAGTCGGCTCGATGGTAACAATAACATTTCGTCTAATTATAACACTAGAGTCTCTCCTATAGAATAATAAACCAATGAGAAGGATGGTCGCACAAATTGTACTTATTTTGAATATTAATGGATGCCTCGGAATCATTCTTCTTTACCACAAATTTCTTTATCATTCACCAAAGCTCAATTGTCTTCTTGGTAAGGGTTACAGTGCTGTCGAACCAAAATATCTGAAATGTAGTGATTATACTGTTATTTTAAACCTCGGTATTAAAGTTCTTGTGCATTTTAAATAAATCAGTGACAAAGATATGTAATGATATGTACAATGGTATGAAGCACTTGTTTTTGTTTGATTCACTGATGGGGTGAATATGCTCAGCATGATAATAACATGTTATAAAGATAAAAATCATTTGCTCAAATATGATGCATACATGCATTCATGAGATGTTTTCAATTGTATGATTTACAAAAACAAAAACAAAAAAAAAACCAACCAACCAAACAAACAACAAGTTCTTCACTTCTAAGATACTTAGATACTGCTCGCGGTAATGAAAAGCCATTAAAGGTAGGAAATGTTTCCTTACCTACATGTTAAGATTCAAATACTTCAATGTATCACACACATATTTTGTCCTCTTTTGTTTCAGTTATTACAGCATTATCTGTTTTTGTTCGAATATAAATTTGTTAACATTTATTACTAAAAGAAAGCAACAAACAAACAAACCACACTTACTCTGACTTGAATTAGCTATTGAATAAAAAATAATAAATAATTGTTTAGGTCACGTGGTTCCCAAACTCAATTTATAACATACGGAAAGCGACATTGCATTTGGTCACGTCATCGCTTCCTTTAATGAGTGACCATTTCATCCCTTATCATTTTATATGAACTTTGAAGTAAATAAAAAGTAATTACAAAGTTATGGAAACAATGCGTATCCAAATAAACACTTATTCTCCGATATACACTCAAAACTGTGTAATCCTAATATCCAGCTAGCACGAAATATTTTGTCTAAATACAATTTTCTTTCCAAAATGTCATTTAGTTCTACAAAAACCCACATTTACAATAAAGTCCTCTTATCTCGACGAATTCATGACATAACCTATTTATCTCTATGACATATATACCTTAAAGTACTGCTTAAACATCTCCATAGATTCAAAGTTTATTGGGTACTTTGAAAAATAATAAATTTGAATTATAGTTTTAATAAAGGCGCACAGCACTTGAAAAGGATAAAACTGTGCTCTCTGCAAGTTTACGCAATATCAGCAGAAAGACCTAGATTTTACGTAATTTATTTGATAACTGATGGGTTTTACAAAAGATAGCACTATAGCTGTGAAAGATAACTCCAAATTTATTATTAAGATAAAACCCAATAAGCTTTAATTTCATATAACATTTCAATTTCAATAAACTCAGTCATCTGCATTTTATCGGTAGTGCACTTTCCTTAAAAGGGTGGAGATCAGTGCTGCTTCGGGTCTTGTTTTGTGCAGAAGAATTCCGAATGTTAGAAGCTAAACGTTTTTAATGTTGTAAATGTTTGGTCGATGTCCATATTGCCCTTTTGCGGTTCCACATACCTCCCTTCCCACAGTGGACAGATGAGTGTAAGATTGAAAGAGTATTATAAATTCGTAACACGTATTTACAAACAAGTATAATTTTCTCTCGACTGGAAAAGAAACAAAAAGTATCTTTAAAAAGATACTCAATCGAAGTCAAACTTGTAAACTTGCATAGCATAAGCTACTACTAACCTTGCTAACCGCAAACAGAACATTTTATTCGTCCTAAATAGTTATACATGTATTTCAGTTCAATTTTACCCCATTAATTGTCATCTTCGATTTAAACAAAATTACTTACATTATTTGATTTTAATCAAAATGGAATTTGATTTGAATAGGAATTTATAATAAAACAAAGATTTAGTAGATACTGTACACTTATTCCATGGAGAATTTTGCAACTGTAAATTAGTCGAAAGTTCTTTACTGTTAATTTTAGCGGAAGTCAAGGTGAAATCAGACGAACTTCGGCCGAAAAATGGTTCTTGAATTATCTTTTTTACAATAGCAAAATAAACATCAAATAATAGCGAGTTATCAAAAGATATGTGCACAGAAAAACATGTGATTTCCTAGTTACTTTTAGTTTATATAAAAGAATAGACCTTCAAAATTTACTCTTTACTTGGATACACTGTATAAGTCTACAAGTTTGATTAAAATCAGCTTCTAAATAACGCTACAAGTAAGAAATAGGTTGATCTGAACTTAAGTCAGATTGTATATGTACATGCATGACCGAGATTTGTCTGATCATTTTAAAAGTACATGTCAAATCGAGCTTTAATACTCTAGTCGAAAGGAGTGACTATAAAATCTTTATTGTTCTCATTTTCAAATAAGCTTAGAAGAGGATTCTATTTTAATCCTGTTTTAAAGTACGTTGTAAGTTAATATTACTATTTTTTTCCTTGGCTATAATATATATTACGTGATATCAAAATAATCTTTTAATTCTTGTCATTTTAAAAAAATAACATTTAATCGCTCAGAACGTAGGGATTGATTAATTTATAAAATTTAAAGGTTACAAATGACAACTTTTTGTTTTTTAATAATTTTTGAGCCGCAATTACAATTGGGGAACGTATAATCACAGGGTAATGGTTTTTTATACCAAGCGCAAAAAATTTAAAACATCCAAAAAAATTCGAATGTCCAAAGCAAATTTTTTTTTGGGCCTAGCCCCCTCTTTTAATTGCACGGCTGAAATTGTTTGGAAGAAAGTTAAAAATTTATTATTCAGGTTTAATAATTTCCGCGTTTTAAATTTATACTTACTGCTATTAGTGCTCAATAATTATTTTTTAAAAAATTTCAAATTTGAAAAATTTTAAAACCTTATTTTAATATTCATTCCCGTTTCATGTAAAACCCGGGGTTTCATTTTAAATTTTTCTTATTTTATTTTCTTATTATCTTTTTGTTGAAAAATAACCAAAAGAAATAAAAGGATCAAGTTAAGTTATATTTGATTGTGGTTTTTACTCATATTTTTAACAAAAAAGATAGACAGAACTTCCAAAAATAAAAATTCTTTCAAACTACAATTTTTTTAAATCTAAGGGGTTAAATTTTAAAATTTTATAATTAATCAAAATAAATTAACATTGAAAATTTTTTAATTAATTTTCATATTCCTTCAATTTCAAAAATTAAAAAAAATAGACAAAGTGCATTGATAAAAAATTCTTGCTTGTCCGGGGGAATTTAAATTTTCTGAAAATTTTTCGTTTGTAATAAATAATCCTTTTAAAATATACCCCGGTATCAAAAAACTAATGGGTTTTTACCAATATCCCAAACCTCGATCGCGCAGGCTGATAATATGCTGTTCGCTTACAAACCATATAACAAGTAATGAAACTGATAGCGAACAGCATGGATCCTGATCAGACTGCGCGGATGCGCAGGCTGGACTGGATCCATGCTGGTCGCAAACCCATTATGTTGGTTTTGTCATGACGCGGCTCATATGTATTCTTATTGCACCAGACCTGGACATTTATGAATGTCAATCTGCCAGACCCGGTAATTCATGAATGTCTATCTGCCAGCCCCGGTCATTCATGAATGTAGACCTATCTGCCAGATCCGGTCATTCATGAATGTCTATCTGCCAGACCCGGTCATTCATGAATGTTTATCTGCCAGACCCGGTCATTCATGAATATCTATCTGCCAGACTCTGTCATTCATGAATGTCTATCTGCCAGACCCGGTCATTCATGAATGTCTGCTAAACAGTACTGTACGTTTGACGCAAGTAAGCAATTTATTATCTATTTTAATATATTTATATCGGATCATGCATCTCACATTCGCCAACGAAATCCATGTATAATTCGTTCGTGGTTTGTTGTTCTATGTAACACTAAATGATATATTAAAGACTTAATTACTATTGTAAACGGGGGTAGAGATTCTGGATCATTTGTGTAACTTTACTGTACTGCACTGTACTGTATACCAAAGGAAATGAAATAAAAGCAAAATTTAATGTTACTTTTATCAATTGTATTAAATATTTAAGACATCACAATATCTTAGTTTACATACTGCAGTAAATATAAAATATACAAGGTCGGAAAAACTTCCTAGAAAAAATAACAACGGCTTACCGCAATTGTGACAGAGCGCTTCTGTTCGTCTTTTATGACGTCAAACATTCACGTCTATGTGTTCGTTCAAGTTTGACGTCATAAATTGACGCCATAAACGTGCACATTAACAAAACAATTGCTAATGGCAATGAGAAGAATTTACGTTGGCAAAAGTGCAAAATATATCCAAATACTTATGTGTTTAGGAGAGAAAAATAATTGCCTAGTTTTTAACAATGAAAATGATCGTATAGTGATTCAAAAGTGATCGTATATACAGTGGTATTAGTATTACCAAGATGGAAATTAAGATATCAGAAATAAATTGAGGTATATATAGTACTTATGTAGAGTAAATTTGGTCATCTATTACACTAGTATAGTCCAATTCACTTTAACATAATACAATGCACGAGGGAACCCAAGAATATTTGTTACGAACAAGTCAAATGAACATGTTGAGCCATATAACATGTAGCACGTGCAGTGTGTGATATACTAGTATGTGATCTAGAAATGACACATGCCTTATGTCTTATGTATGAGATACATTCATCTGCTCAATCTGACACAAACATAAACGTATATGTCACACATGTTGTGATATAAAATAATGGTACCACAAATTATAACATAATTAGAAACATCATCATATTCGCACTCAAAGTACGTTCTTTTACTCATCATCACCACAATAAACAATTATTCGATTGTAAATGACACCAGGAGCATAACCACACTAACAATCATCATCATCATCATCATCATCATCATCATCATCACCACCACCACCGGCCATAATCAGCATAATATCATCATAGCAATCAACGTATTTCAGTTAACAAGACAACCATCGTCACCATGAGCAGCAGCGGCAGCATAATAATAATCATCATCATCATCGCCGCCGTCATCATCACGATTATCATATCTAATATGACAGTCATCAGATGTGTCATCATCGTCATTATCATGGCCACTATACTGCCATTATCATTATCCTTATTTGATATCATCACGACAATCATTACTGTCATCACGGCCATAACGACTATCATCATCACAATCAGCTGCAACATCTCTATCAATACGCCTATCATCAAGATCATTGTTATTATACTCAACAGTAATTTTTTTGTCATCATGCCTAGTACAGTAAGCTTCATGACAATTATTTACACGATCAAAGAAAATGCAGAAACAAACATTTGCAAATTGTTGTTCACAATATACTAGTATAATAGTATCTCATCGATTTTTGCAAGTTTGAGAATTATTATGATATCACTATGTTCGTCGTTATGATGATGATGATGATGATGATGGTGGTGGTGGGGGTTGTCCTGGTGCTAATGATGATAGGAATGATGATGATACTGATGATGAGGAGGAGGATCATGTTGATCATTATTACAGCCATAAAAACTTAGACTAACATTAATTAAATTTCTATCCATGTTGCTAATTATTGTTCATTTAAAATTCAACAAAGAAAAACCAAGCTAGAAATTTCAATAATAATATTCAATTATGTGTCCACTTTTTGAGTTGTATCATATTATTATCATAAAATTCATTTTATGCGCGTGTCATATTCGGCGTGTGATATCCATGTGAATATAAATGCAACAAACTACAACTTGTGAAAATGAATATATTTCTAAATCTGAAGTACAATATTTTATCCTCTATAAAAAGTAAAACAAACAAACAAACCTTGATTTCTTCATTTAAAATCCGTTATAAACTTAAAAATATATTCTCGAAAAATTGAATTCCTTGATATTTATCATTGACTTAACAACTCGATTCTTTTTCTTTAATTTTCACATTTTTGCGATTGTAACTCTTAAAGTGAATGGCCCAACCTAGATCAACTATACTTGAAACT